ACTAAAAATAGAAAGAAACTAATTGACCAACTAGAAATATATATACAAAAAATTAGCCGGGTATGGTGGCACATGCCTGTAGTCCCAGCTACTTGGGAGGCTGAGGCAGTAGGATCGCTTGAGCCCAGGAGATTGAGGTTGTTGTGAGCTAGGCTGACACCACGGCACTCACTCTAGCCTGAGCAACAAAGTGAGACTGTGTCTCAAAAAAAAAAGCAATTAATTGGCCAACTAATATATAGAGAAAAAAACTAGCCAGGCATGGTGGTGCACGCCTGTAGTCCCAGCTACTTGGGAGGCTGAGGCAGGAAGATTGCTTGAGCCCAGGAGTGTGAGGTTGCTGTGAGCTAGGCTGACGCCACAGGACTCACTGTAGCCTGGGCAACAAAGCGAGACTCTGTCTCCAAGAAAAAAAGAAGAAAGTGCATAAGTATATGTAGTGGGCCACCTGTGGTTTTAAAAGTCTGTGAATATATGTGTGTATATATATATGAGCATATATACACATATTTACATCCATAGAATCCTGCGGGGAAGGTAGGATGAGAAGCATTGCCTATTTCCCTATGTGTGTATCCTCGGTCTCCTGTAAATTTAGGGCCATGTGTAAGAGTTGCCTATTGAAAATAACAACTAATTTAAAAATGATGATGACAGTCTTCAGTGGAATTCCAGGGACCTGATACAGCCGGATGGCCCTGCCCAGAAGTACAGGTGGCAGGGCTGGTGGGCTGTGTATCATGCTAACTTACCCATCCTATATTTTTTACAAACATAGGTTGAGTTCCCTGAAGCCCGGATTTATGAAGAGACCTTGAACATTTTGCTGTACGAGGCCCAGGATGGCCGGGGACCTGACAATGCGCTCCTGGAGGCCACAGGCGGGGCAGCCGGGCGCTCCCACCACCTGGATGAGGACGAGGAGCGGGAACGGGAGCGCATCGAGCGTGTGCGGCGGATCCACATCAAGCGCCCGGATGACCGGGCCCACCTCCACCAGTGAGCAGGCGAGCCGGCCCAGCCACCCTCTCGCGCCGCCCCTCCCTCCCTCCCCGCCATGCCACACTCGCGGGCTCCCGGGCACCTTCCACTTCCCCTGGAGCCTGGAGAGCCTTTTGTAACAAGCCAGATACTTATTTTGATACTTCTGGAGAAGGTGAATTGATTGTCTCGACCCAGGTCTGTGCAGCCCTATTGTCGAGCAAGCTGTGTCTAAGGTCTCTACTTTTCATGAGAATCCGCGAACGTTTGGAGCCAGGCTTTCTTGGTTCTCAGAGGGAAAGAATGAATGAGCATGAAGCGTTTGTGAGAACTTTTGTTTGCAGTATTTATTTTTGTGGGTGTTGACGATGAATTTGGGCATTTGGGTGACACTCTCTTAAGGATTCAGTTTGACAGTTCCAGGAGGAGTTGTCGTTGGTGGCTACCAGGGGTGTCTGAGCTACCTATTTCATATATCATAACCCTCCAGCCCTAGCAGATAGGCTCCTGGTCCCGGTGTGTTTTGCCCCAGCACAATATCCACTGCTTTGCTAGAAGGCCATTCTACCACGTGGTTTTGTGCTTAGACCTTGGTGATAATTGCAGCTTGTAGCAGTGGAAATGTGACCTCATAAACCTCTGAGTTGCCATTAGTAGTGTAGCTTTGGGTGCAAATCTTCCTTTAAGGGGCAGGCCTTTTGCTGCCTTGACTGGTCTCTGAGTGCTGGCTGGGACCCTACGTGCCTTCCTAGGAGCAAAGTGTTCTCTGGCAGTATTTAGTCTGCTCCTGGCTCCTTCAGTTGCTCTCCTTGTTGACCTATTCAGTTCCAGGAAGGCCATCTGACCCCGTGACCGGCGTAGCTCACAAACTACTTCTCCAAGAGATCGGTGCCTTCCCCTTGAAGCTGGGCTTCCTACTGCAAGTGGATGCCCTGCCCTTTGCTTAGCAATTCAGTGTGGCCCAAACTTTGTCCTCCCCCTGCATCTAAGCAGGGACACCCCCACAATGCCAGCCCCCAGGGAGCTTCCCTGCTATAAACACAGTCGTCACCTGGAGAGCCCCTTCTTGTCTTTGCCTCTGATTCCTACACAGAGAGTGGCCAGCAGTGTACAGGTTGAGAGAACGTGCAGATACCTTTGGCTCTGGTTTGTGTCGATGTTCCCGTTTGTGTAAAGGGATGTGTGCGACTGCTGACGGGGGAACGTGTGCTCGTGGGGCACAGGTGGCCTGCGCTGGAGTGTGGCTGGCTGCCTGGTGCTCATGTAGGGTGGATGTTCAGTTACCTACCTCCTAGCTCCTCTGCGCCTGCAAAGGAACAGAAGCGAGTCGTGACTGATAGGGGTTGTTGAGACTAGACTAGGTAGAGTAGTTACAAGGAGATGTGCATGTGTGTTAGGTGATGGATGGATTTGTCTGCTTATCAAGGGAATCGTTAGTTTTATACCAAAGGTATTAACACGGGCAGCCTTTGACACATGTATTCCAAAAAACGAGTTTATATTTTGAAATGGTTTTTACAGCTTACTTTGTACGTACTGCCCTGCCTATGACAGCTGTATGCCTTTATTTTGTATCCAGCAGCAAAGCCTACAATAAAACTGTAAAACAATCATGACTGAACGTAAAAATCATGCATCGGGTAGACACTTTTTAAACTGTTGTGTGGGAAACTTTTGTATTAGGCCATTTGGATTTTATTAAGTGCTATGAAAAGAGGGCTTACAAAATAATGTTTCATAAATATTTTATACTGTTTAAGTTTTAAATACCAACCCTTTTGGGTTGCACTTTTTTAGAACGTTAAAGTGAATGTCAGTTCTGATATTTTCTGTAGGAATGGAAAAGCCATTGTATAAATTGTTTTTTAAATGTTTATGTGAAGAAGTTTGTGGAACGATCTGTTTTATTTTGGCTTCTATGCCTTATGACCTAATGTTTCTGGCAGCTCTAACTTCACTTTTCTTCCAACTTTGCACCTGTAGTTTTGAACCTTTGCCTCTTTGGAATATGAACAGGTTCGTAAAACATTCCGTGGTGAGCGATACTGTTAGCTGCATATAGCCATGAGCTGACAGACGTGCTGGCTGGTCCAAGCGCTTATCAAATATCTTCTGTCATATGGAACTGATTTTTCTTATGTTGGCACTAAGGGCAAAAGTCAATATTTGTAATTTAAGAATGATCCAAGTGAAACACTGGCCTAAAATTTGGCAAAAAGAGTAAGGTTTTATTACATTGCAACAGCTTACAATTTAAAAAGCAGCAGCAGCTTTTAGTCTGTTGTAATCAACTTTTTTTTTTATATATGTCATCTGATTGTGGTGACTGGGAGATTGTACCCAAGACAATTCCTTACCTGTCGTCTTCTGTCACTTTCCTGTGGTGGATTAGCTGGCGGATCCCCGTGCAGGTACCCCAGCCCCTGTTCAGGTGTATTTGCTGTACCTCACAGCAGCTATTCAGGACAGACGTGTGAACAGCACCCAGCCCTTCCTCTCTAGTATGTGCTGTCTTTAGGGCTCCACCCAATGTCACTGTAACACATTTAAGTGTCGTTAATTAACCTTTCTGTCTCTTTGTGCTATGAAAAGATGCTGTAAGTTTTAGAAGTAGTCACTGTGTGTTGTACAAGCATTTGTGGACATATGTAAAATAAAAGTCATATAATGCTTCTATTTCAATCTGTTCTCTGGGTCTTTTCAGGAATGCCCAGCGACACTGAGCCACGGAAAGTGCGGTTTACAGCAAGGCAGAGCCCCTACCTTACCACCTTAAAAGTTGCTCAGCGTGGAAAGGAAAGATGAGTCATTTTTCTGTAGCGTATGAATTTAAACACAGAAAGGAAGTCTTGGGTCAAAGGTGCTCCCACTTGTGCAAAAGCAGAATGAATCAGCTGGTGTTACCACTGATTTAATAGTGGGGGGTGGGGACTCATCTCACCATCTGGGACCTTAATCCAATTCTTTGACACTTTTTTTTTTGAGACGGTTTCACTGTGTTGCCTGGGCTAGAGTGAGTGCCGTGGCATCAGCCTAGCTCACAGCAACCTCAAACTTCTGGGCTCAAGCGATCCTCCTGCCTCAGCCTCCCGAGTAGCTGGGACTACAGGCGTGCGCCACCATGCCCGGCTCATTTTTCTATATATATTAGTTGTCCAATTAATTTCTTTCTATTTTTAGTAGAGACAGGGTCTTGCTCTTGCTCAGGCTGGTTTTGAACTCCTGACCTCGAGCAATCCACCATCCTCGGCCTCCCAGAGTGCCAGTACTACAGGCATGAGCCACCGTGCCCAGCCCAATTCCTTGACACTTCTGAGTTCCATTTATTTAAAGCAAAACTTGAATTTTGTAGGTTTATGAAATTGTGGCCATAGGGGGTCTCAGTAAAGGCAAACAGTCACAAAATTGTTTGCTGAGCACTTCATAACAGGTTTATTGTTATGCATTTATATCATACTTTACAAATTTTTATTTTACAATAATTTGTATTCATTTATTTTCCATCCTGCTTGTTCCAGTTCAGGGTCTCGGGTGGCCTGAGCCCAACTCGGGGCACAAGGCAGGAACTCACGCTGGCCAGGATTCCACCCCACTGCAGAGCACGCTCACACCGGGACCACGGAGCTGTGCCAGTGCACGTCCTGGGGCTGAGAGAGGAAACCCTCCCAGACGTGGGGAGAATGCGCAAACTCCACACCCCTGGCCAGGCATTTTTTGTCATCAAGGTTATAATGACATAATGTTATTGGAGAACCTGCTGCTATATATAATATTTCATTGTGTCTTGGGGCAGCTTGACAAAGGTGGAGTTTCTTGCCCACTCCATAATGATGTGCTGAAGTGCCCATCAAGTGTAGGTACGATGGGATGTTGAAAACCACCCCCTCGGGTGGCCTGCGATTGCTCCTAGAGGACGACATTTTAACATAGGGCAGCAGGAGTTAGGCTCTGGCGTAACATGCCCCTCAGTTCTTCAGGTGCGATTCTCTCCCCAGTGCTGCTGGGATCTCTCCTTCAGGGCTAACTGGATCAAATTCTGCTTCCTTGGTACTTTCCTCAGTTGGAGCAAAAACGATGACGGTAGAGGTCAGACGTCATTCTCTATCAGGACTTCCTCCGGACCGACACCTGAGAGAGAGGTACGATTCAGTCTAGAGACCTGTCGGCTCCCTTCGCTGGGAAGGAAAGCAGTTATCACCATGAACAAGGTGGGTCTGGATGGGGCTGTGAGAGGCCCACCTCAAGACACACCAGAGTCAGAAAGTGGCTCACTGAATCCCACTAGCATCTTCAGCTGGGGCCAGCCAGGGAGAAAGAGACACTGCGACTCCAAAGGAGAGCATGTAAACTGGAAAATCACCTTGTAGTTTATATCCCAAGTGATCCTTATTTTCCCTGCCCCTGAAGGAGTTGGGACGATTATGTTGTAAAAGATACTATACTATTTACATTCATAAAATGATTTTATAGGTAAATAGGCTAAGTTTAAATGTATAGGAGACTATTCCATGTTGATAGACCATTTTTAATTGGTTTCTGTCAATAATTCTCAGCATAAATATACATCTTAAAGGTTCAGCTCCTCCTGCTTTTAACATGTTATTTCCCAGCAACATTGGGTCAAAACCCGCTCTGCATACTACCTTCCAGCCAGGACTGTGGGGACCCTCGGCCCAGGGAGGACAAAAGTTCCTGAGTGCTCAGTTTCTTCACTAGCTGGCAGTGGTTCCCCTACCTCCATGCTCATTAGGCCTGGGGACCTCTTACATGCCGGAGCCCTGGGCACACCCCCAGCCACTAAGTCATTGTATTTGGGGGTGGGGCAGAGACAGGTGTGAGAGCCATGGTAAGAAGGCATAAGGCCTTCTCCATCCACTGAAAGGTTGGACTTTGACTTTTTTTTTTTTTTTTTTTGAGACAGAGTCTCGCTTTGTTGTCCAGGCTAGAGTGAGTGCCGAGTGCCGTGGCGTCAGCCTAGCTCACAGCAACCTCAAACTCCTGGGCTCGAGTGATCCTTCTGCCTCAGCCTCCCAGGTAGCTGGGACTACAGGCATGCGCCACCATGCCCGGCTAATTTTTTATATATATATCAGTTGGCCAATTAATTTCTTTCTATTTATAGTAGAGACGGGGTCTCGCTCTTGCTCAGGCTGGTTTTGAACTCCTGACCTTGAGCAATCCGCCCGCCTCGGCCTCCCAAGAGCTAGGATTACAGGCGTGAGCCACAGCGCCCGGCCTGGACTTTGACATTTTAAAACTGAAATATTCAAAATCATCTCCTGGTTCACTGACAACTAGTGTTTCTTGCTCTGTCACCCTTGGTAGAGTACAGTGGCATCATCATTACAGCCTGCAACTCTTGGACTCAAGTGATCCTCCTGTCTCAGCCTGCTGGAACTACAGGTGTACACCACCACACCCAGCTATTTTTTCTTTTTCCCATTTTTTTGTAGAGATACGGGGTCTTGCTGTGTTGCCCAGAGTGGTCTCAAACTCCTGGCCTTAAGCAGTCCTCCCACCTTGGCTTTCTAAAGTGCTGGGATTACAGGTGTTAGCCACTGCACCCAGCCCTTTTTTCCCCTTTTCATTCAGTGTTTACCTCTGGGACCAATTCCTATCAGGATGGGGAGAAATGAATTAGCTTCTGATTCCAGTCAATCTACAGGACTGAAGTTCAATGTTCTCACCTAAACTTGTTTAACCTTCCTCTCTAGGCACAACTACTTACCACTGTTAACCGTCCATTTTTATCTTTATAGACTTGTTCTTCCGGTCCAGTGTCGAAAGCTATTGTGCCTTCTTTTCCAGGGCTAATATAAAACTGTAAACTTAAAAGACACAAAGTGACAAATTACTAACATATTCTGTTCTCTTCCAACACCCTTAAAGTCTGCAAAAGAAATTCACTTATGAAACTTCAGTAGTTGCAATAAATCAGGAATCTGATCCTGAATGTTTGAGCAATGCAAAGAAGAAAACCCATTTTTAGAGCTGGGCAACTGATATGTGCCATGCTGAAACTCATGGGACAAAATAGTCCCTCGGAGGGACAGCAAAACACACACTTTTCAGTTTTTGCTTGATGAGCAAATTTGTAACAGCAAAAGTATGAGGAAAAAGAAACAGCAGAGAGCCCGCCCTTGAAGCAGACTAGCCTGGAAAGCATCAAGCCTGAGCCTTGGAAATCTGTACCCTGTCACTGACAAGCTCCCCAGCTTCGGGCCTACTGGTTGACCTCCCTGTGCTCCACTTGGCCTTGCCCATGAAAGAGGAAAGCTGGCACCTACGTCAGAATTGAGAGAATCAAACAAGAGTATATGCTGTGCCAGGTGTTTTCCTTTTATATCCTAATCTACCAGCACCTATGAAGCTGTGGTCCAAACAACTGTCCCCCACAGCAAGGGTGTGACCTGCTCTGGCTTAGAGGTCCACCTTTTACATAGTGACAGCTTCCCTCGGGAACACAGCTACCTCCTTTGAAAACTCTATGGGGAGATTTTCGCTTCCTGAGGTCAAGGAGTGATCACTGACATCTTCACTTCCCGGGAGCCCAAGAGCATAGGGATGAAGACAGAAAAAAGTTCTTTATGGGAGACCACAAGGGGACACCACTCCAGGTTCACCCCCACCCCTTGCTGGAAGATGGTGCTCACTTGTTTTGGAGGGAAGGGGCAGGTGTGGGTGAAGGTTAAGGCTGAATGACTTCCTGGGCTGAAGATGAGGCCACCTACCTTCCTTGAACAACATTCACAATGTTCTCCTTCTTAGCCAGCATGACGAGTTTAGTGACTGCTTCAAAGACGTGTTCACACTGTAAAATGGCATCCCCCTGCGGTAGAGAGGTGGTGAGGTGTGGTTTCAGTATTAGCAGTTTACAAGAAACACACGCTCAGATGCTGAGGTTTCAGAGCCGTCAACTTAACATTGGGCAGTGTGCTGTTTTTCCCCCCTTTTAGCAGAGAATGGTGGCTGTCAGTTACCTTTTGCTTGTTGTCCTCGGGCGAAACGTGAATGACTAAGAATCCATCGCTCAGATTGCTGGTGGAGATACCTTAAGACAGATGCAGAGTTAGAGGCCAGGAAGTGAACAGCTTGACATGAATACAGAAAGAAGAGATGGCCCAGCTAGGAGAGGAAAGCACGAGGTCAGGGAGCGCCTGGGCCGAGTGGGATGAAGGGCATACTCCACAGAGCAGCCTGCTGTTGGGCTGTGATCTGAGGAAAAAGGTCATTACAGAAGGGGACTGCTGGCCACCTGGATACTTGAATGAAGGGCGCCGTTCATACTTGCGCCAGAAGAACAGACGCAGGCCACACTGCGCAGCGTCAGGCTTACATGGCACCTTATGCTTGGGTCTCCCATTCAAGAGCGTCGCCACTGGTCTTTCCATTGTTGAGTCAACTCAGTGAACTGTTTTAAAGATCGCACGCTTCTTACCTTTGAGGGCCGAGTACTCTATTTTCTGCTTGATTTTGGCAAGTTCCACCACGTAAGCTGCTTTCTGAGTAAGGATGAGTTGCCGCTGCCGTGCCTTGAAGCCTTTCCTGTCGTATTTGATCACCGGCATACCGTACTGCAAGGAGGTTACCGTCATCGCAAGGGGGAGGTTACCCCGAGTGCTTGCTGCTCGGACTCCAGCAAAGTTACTCCAAGCTCTCAGGCTCAAACAGGTTTTGCATAAACAGATTTTTTTTCCTGCACCCTGGCTCTCGGGGGGGAGGGGGGGTAGGTTTGGATGTAGCTCTACCCTCCTGCACTGCCCTCTGAGAAAGTCAAGGCTAAGCCCGGCCTCCCGGGGCTGTTCTCAGAGGTCAGAGGAATGAAAACCTTCACAACCGGAGGGTCTTCCAGGCAAATTGCACAGGCTCCTGTCCTCCAGGGAACCAAAAGGGGCAGAGAAGCCGCCGGAGCACATGGTAAAGGCAAATGTTCACCTGCTGCCATGTGCCAGGCCGAAGCCCATTGACTCATTCCTCCCTTCAGGGACCCTGTCATCTACGTTCACAGGACATCAGAGGTAACCTGCTCAGGAGCTCACAGCCACTGAGAAGCCAGTGTCTGCACACAGCCACTGTGCCACAGATACGGGAGGTTTCAGGGCTAAGTTCATGGCTACATTTCATTCAGTTTTGTAAGAAAGCAAACAAAGATGGTTTCCAGGGTGACAGAAGGACCAACCATAAGAACAGCAACGGGTCTCTAAGCGTCATGCATCCCCCGTATTCATTCTTTAATACTCAATGTCACAACTGAGAGCCCCGGCCCACCCAGCTGTACCCCTGCATTTAAATAGTGCTTCTAGACACTCTATGGAAAACACACCCCATTCTCAGACCTCATAAGGGAATCGTGTTTGTGGCTGAGGACACGCTGCCTTACCTGGATTTTCTCATTGCTAATGAGTTGAAGCACTTTGGGGTTAATGTCGCCGACATCTAGGGAGGAACCAGAACACCATGAACCGTCACTAAATACTAACCCTTGGGAAAGTCACTGGGATCTGCTTTTGTATGTTCCTCTGTGCCAAGCTCTCAGCTGAAGAAAGAGCTGTCAGGAAATGCTAGAGCCAAACATCTTCCCTTGACTTTAAGAATTGGGAGGCCAAGTACACAGAAAAAGTACTTACCTATCCGACTGTCGGCAAAGGGTTGCTTCAAACTTTCCGCATAGCCTTCCTTCTTTCCCCTGAAGAGTTCACTCGTAACCACCTTTTGCTCCATCTGTAATACATAATTGAAGGCATGAAAATGGTATCCCTGGGGCTCTGTGGGATAGGGGAGCTTTAGACCCTCTGTTATGTATTTTGTTGGCTAAGCTGTAGGGGAACACATTACTGGCTTTGGCCAAAGTGCCGTACAAATTATACCCATAGAGACTGGGGTTGACAATTCTGCTGGTCCCTTTACTTGCACTGGTTTCCTGAAAGCGGGAGTTTTCAGGACTTCGGCAATGGGCAGGCTAGAGCCTGCTGTCTGTCGTTGTGAGTAAAGTTTTATTGGAACACAGCCACACCACCCATTTACATGTTGTCTGGGGCTGCAACCGATCATGTGGCCCACAATGCCCAAAATATTTACACTGTAGCCCTTTACAGAAAAGTCATGCAGATTTAGACCTTCAGCAGAAAGGGGTCCTGCATCTTTTACAGTGCAGGAGCCATCTGGATTGTTCCCATGGGAACAGGAGCCATGCTGATTATAACAGCTGACATTCATCGAGGGCTCTCTGCTATGTGGTCATGCTCACGGCATCTGTGAGGCCTGCGGCTAGCATGGCCCTGGGCTTAGAGGTGAAACAATGAATGAGGCCTTCTGACGCAGTGCGGGACCAGCCATGGCAGCCCCCCACCCCAGGGTCCTGCCTCCCTGCAGACAGCACTTCCCTACCATGGCTCTCCGCTCGGCCGAGATCCCCCGGCAGTACTTCCGCACCAGGTTCCTCGTGCACATTTTCCTGAGCAGATCTGACGCCTGTGTGGAAAACACACCACTTTTCCACCTGCCTCACTCACACCCTGTCTCGGGCTGTGACGACCAAGATAGAACTTCTTAAAACACAGTAGAATTCAGTTAAAGTACAGTGTTAATGGGAGGCCAAGCTGGGCGGATTGCTTGAGGTCAGGAGTTCAAAACCAGCCTGAGCGAGACCTCGTCTCTACTAAAAATATATATACAAAAAATTAGCCGGGCGTGGTGGCGCATGCCTGTAGTTCCAGCTACTTGGGAGGCTGAGGCAGAAGGATTGCTTGAGCCCAGGAGACTGAGGTTGCTGTGAGCTAGGCTGATGCCATGGCACTCACTCCAGCCTGGGCAACAACGTGAGACTCTGTCTCAAAAAAAATAAAGTATAGTGTTAATATTTTATAGTCAAAGCCACTAACCTTCCCATCTTGCTCTAACTTCTCCCTAGTGTTTAACTAGTGGTTCTCGAATATGTTTATGAGTCACCTGAGGTGTTGGCTATTAACAAGGTTCTCGAGTGAATCCAGAGCAAAACCCAGGAACCTTATAACAGCCCGGACTCTACGTTCCAGCTGCAAGGGGTCCCCGGATCATCTTTTGAGAAACACTGTCGTAGGAAGGCTATATCAAGAATAGAAACCATTCGAAACCAGCACACCAGACCTCCACTAGCTTTATAATGCCATTAAGGAGACCACAAATTCTAAGGAGTTAAATTTCTTGTGCAACATCCTTGCAAAGAAGTGCTTTGCTAAGGCAGCTCTTTCAAGCCAAAGGACGGCATCATGAATACATGCAAGAGGCCAGCTCCATCTGTGCCCACATCACATCATCTGTCCTTACATTCGCCAAGATGCCAGGGGGCCTCAGCCAGCTCTTGTCCAGGACGTTCTTTGGAACATGGTACCGAAGATTCAAGATGTAATTCTTCCGCACAAACACTATAAACTCCTCATTGTCGGGACAAAGGGGTTTATTGCGATTGATGAATCCCTTGATAAACCTAAAAAGGAAAGTGTTTTGTTAGTTTCTTTGGCCCGTTTCTTCACTGAGATGTATGTTCTATCCTCATTGGTTTGATTCAAAGGAGGCCAAATGGTAGAGATTGTTTAAGTGACCACACAGGCCAGTCTGCCCCAAAGGTAGGATCTATTTCACCCACACTGCTTATTAATTTTGAGTAGCTTGAATTAGTTGCCAATTTAGAAAAAAATTGGGAGGAATTCCATAAACACTAGATTTCAGCTTTCCTCAAGTGATCGGATAGCGTTTGCCCACGGAAGCAGTCAACTAGAGCAGAGTAATTTCTGCCCCCTTTGAGATGTCCTGAGTGTACCAGTTTGCCACAGTCTCTACCTTGCCCTAGTGTCTTATCCCAGCTCATGGGACTTACTCAACTTGACCTACCCGGCCTCAGAAAGCACTTGACTTTGTGATTTTTGAGCTAGGCTGAGACAAATGACAAGTGTACACAGTTGTGATTGCCATCAATTCTGGAGCTCGGAGCAAAGACATGGGACTGAATTCCTAAGGGCATCCTGGCGGGAAGGTCTCTTTTCTACACCAATCAAAAAATCGTCACAAACTCATCCACGACCATCCTTTGCAGCACACCAGCGTCGAGTTGGTCCTCCTCCTTGTACTGGAGAACTTACTTTCTGATAATCTGCACAGCCCACTTCCTCCTCTCGGCCTCTCTCCGAGCCAGGGCTCCGCGCCAGTAGGTTTCCAGTACAGTGGCTGAAAGAGGTCACTGCTGGCATTAGAAGGTAAGCACAATCACATTTAAAGACAAAAGGCTTCTCTGGAAGCATTCACCTGCTCAACAAACAGCCGAATGCCCACTCAGCACCCAGCTAGCCCCAGAGATGCAAAGTCGGATGAACGTGGTCAGTTCTTACCTGGGGGCGCCCAGATGGACAACTGAACCAGGGACACAGAAAAGACAGGGTACTGTGGGAAGCTTCCAGAAATGCCCCCAAATTATAGGAGGGGGTCAGTTTCCTGGTGCCTTTTTCAGGGAGAGGGGTGGTACTTGTGATATTGTAGATTCGTGTTTTGATTTAGTTGTCTACATTTAAATATCGAGATAAACTGGGGCACACAAAAACTAGATGCTGGCCGGGTACAGTGGCTCACGCCTGTAATCCTAGCACTCCGGGAGGCCGAGGTGGGAGGATTGCTTGAGGTCAGGAGTTTGAGACCAGCCTGAACAAGAACGAGACCCTATCTCAACTAAAAATAGAAGAAAAGGAAATTAGCCAGGCTTGGCGGTGCATGCCTATAGTCCCAGCTACTCAGGAGGCTGATACAGGAGGATCGCTTGAGCCCAGGAGGAGTTTGAGGTTGCTGTGAGCTATGATGATGCCATGGTACTCTAGCCCTGGCAACAGAGCAAGACTGTCTCAAAAAACCAAAAAACTAGATTCTGGCTTGTCTCCCAATTTTTAAATGCTTCAGATTTTTTCAGTCATTCAAAATTTTAAAATGCTTTTCTCTTATTCCTCAGAGCAGTATTGTTTCTATACAAAAACAAACAAGCAACTGTAAACAAGAAATGTCCATCAACAGAACAGCTCAGGGCCTGCCGCTGGTTTATGTAAATCAAGCTCTATTGCAACACAGCCATACCCATTCTTTGAGCTACTTCTGCGCTGCAGTGGCAGACTTGAGCAGCTGTGACAGAGACCATATGACCCACAAGTCTAATATATTTACTATTATGCCAACCTCTGCTAGAGTGAAATACTATGCAACAATGAAAAGGGATACATCTATACCCATCTGGTTGAATTTCAAAAACAATTTAGAGTACAAAAATGTCACAAAGATGCCAACAATATAATTTTGTTAAATCCAACACATGCCAAACTATAAATATATTATTTAGAGATACATCCATAGATGGTAAAACCATAAAGAACAAGTCTTTGTGGTTATGATAACAACATTCAAGAGAGTGGTTACTTCCAAGAAATCTTTGTGGCGGGGGGAGGGCCAAGGGTGTTGTGTGCGTACGTGACTGGCAAGTGACAAAAGGGAGGGGCTTCAAGAGCACTTGAAAACCTTTTCTGGAAATCTTTTAAAGGTGCTCTGTTGTGGATCAAATAAAACATGCCTGGGTGGTTGGGTACAGAGGTTCATTCCTATAATCCCAGCAGTTGGGGAGGCAGATGTGGGAGGATCGCTTGAGTCCAGGAGTTTGAGACCAGCCTGGGCAACATAATGAGACCCTATTTCTACAAAAAACAGAAAAATTAGCTGGGTGTGGTAGTGTCTCAGGAGGCTGAGGCAGGAGGATCACTTGAACCCAGGAGTTTGAGACTGCAGTGAGTACTCTAGCCTGGGAGACAGAGCGAGACCCTGTCTCAAAAACAAAAGGCCATGACTGTGGAACAAATACAGGCCATGGCATTAGACTCTCCGTTGAATCAGGTGATGAGAAGGGGCCCCTGAATTGGGCCCCGAGGCCGCCCCATGCCAAGGTTTCCAGGACAGGCAAGGGAGAGAACTGGCAAGTGGATAAGGAGGGAAAGGCTATGATTCTGGCTCTGCAGCCTGGCGAGTTTCTGTTTGATTCTTACCTGCTCGTTTTTTTCTCATGTATTCCCTCCTTCCTTGGCAGCCTTTGTAGGTGGCTTGAATTCTCGCAACTTAAAAGAAAACTTTTGGTGAAATGGCTTTTCATTTGTGCATCATCTTTGAGGTTGTGACCTCCAGGAGGGGACGTCAGAAGGGGGCCTTAAAGGCCCGTGATGTCGTGACAACGCGGGAAGCCCATTCAGCACGGCAGAAGTGAGAGCCGGCTGGTTACGCTGAGCCTGGCTCCCAGCCGCTGCCCGGTAACCAGGCTTTCCTTTGGCCTTTCTCTTTCCTTCCCCCAGCGTAGGGGACACCCCAGTGGTGAGAACCCCCGGTTCCATGACAGGCGTTACATTTCATCCTCACACCCCGCCCCATAAGGTAGGTTCCATCAGAACTTTTGACAAATGGGCAGTTTTAGTGAAGACACTTGCCAAGATCAAGGCAAGGCAGCTACTGAGGAGGAGTGTGGACCCAGGTCTGAGTGCCCACAAAACCCACACTCGCCCTGGGCTTCTCTAGCCTGCACCCCGCCCTCCATACAAGTGACTGAAGTCCCCCCAGAGGCCAAGCTCATCAAGGGCCTCACAGAGCAGCAGCATCCTGTCCCCCGGCAGCTGGTTAGAGACGCTGACTCAGGAGCCCGAGACCCGTCTGAGCCAGCACCTGCCCTTCAACCAGATCCCCAGCGGTCAGTGCCCACAGCCGTGGGGGTCACATCACAAGACCAAGCCTTAACGCCAGCCAGACCCCACATAGAAACCCCAGCTCTGCTGCTGCTTACTAGCTGTGTGGGCTTCAGCAAGTTACCGGCATCTCTGTGCCTCAGTTTCCCCAAATGTAAATTGCAGGTGCCAATACCTACCCTCATAGGCTTGTTCTGAGACTAGAAGGAGATCATGGTATAAAGCACTTAGTGTGCACCTGGCACACAGCAAGCCTTCAGATCACTCAAACATGGTCCCTCTTGACAGATCAGTTGTGATTTCGAGGGATAAGCCCCCTCTGTCCAGTCATTTTGACTTTTAAAACTTTTACATTTCCACCTCCCCTGCCCCCCGCCGTCAATCCAACTTTTCGCATTTTACCATTCACAACACACACCCTGGCTGCAGGCTTTGCAGCTGTACCTTCCAACATCAGATACTAACACAAATGAAGTTTTTAAAACCTTCATTTCAGGGGGGGGAATGGTCTCCCAAGGATTTAGGTCCTGACGGTACACAACAGAGTCTGATGCAAACTAGAACTGAGATGGCACTACTACCTTTTCGTTTCTGCCTGCATCTGTGGCTGCCCACCCCCCAACATTCGTGAAGGCATAAATTCACCTGTATCTTATCGTAATCCCACCTCTTGTTCCTGGCTTCCAAAGCGAATGCTCCTGACATTCTGTCGGACACCCATGTTTAAGATGCATCCCCGAGCTAAGCTTGTTCATTTCACATTCTACTGAAACCAGGGCAGAGAACTAGTACCTAATTGATGTTTACTAAATTCAAAGGCATCTTCCGTCGCAAACAGAGTCCTGGGGAAACGAATGAATATTTTGGTCCTAGAAGGGAAAAGAAATGTTTTCATTATTAATTGGTCAGTCGCCATCTGTAGTGAGTGGAACAGTGTCCCCTGCCCCCCACTGCAAATTCCCTTCTACACACAGCCTCGGCACGTGATCTTATTTGGAAATGGGATCTTTGCACGGATGTGATTAAGGTAAGGAGGGACATGAGATTGTACTGAATTAAGGTGGGACCTAAACCCAATGAGAGTGTCCTTAGAAGAGACAAAAGGACACACAGAAAGACAAGGAAAGGCCACGTGAGGATGGAGGCAGAGACTGCAGTGATATGGCCACAAAAGCCAAGGCACCACCAAGGAGCTAGAAGAGACCAGGAAGGATCCTGCCATCGGGGCTCTAAAAGGCAGCACATCCCTGCCAAATCCTTGGCTTTAGACTTCCAGCCTCCTGAACTATGGCAGCATAAACTTCTGTGGTTTTAAGCCAGCCAGTTTGTGGCCATTTGCCACGCAGCCCTAGAAAATGAATACACCATAACTTGAAGTTGCTTCCAGTTATGTTCCTGGGCTTTAAATGGTGAGACAAAGAATAGGTACCCAAGCTTAAAAGAAGATCCCATTAACCAACCAGCAGAAAGAAATTATAATACCAATACTGATCTGGGATCGCTGGCCCCTGCCCTCCACAGTTCCCAGGGCAGCCACCAGGGGCAGCAGTGTGTCATGCCACGTGACCCCACAGCCCCATCCCAAATTATGGAATGTGAGACAGACACAGACCACCTCTGACCCCCACACCCCCTGCCTCTCTCAGGATGTGCTGAACCCGATTCCCCTCAGGGGTTTGGATTAAGTAACTGATTCTCAGAACAGGAGCCTAAAGACAGAGGCCAAGGTGGCCACAGACAGCCGCATACAGGAGGTTGGAGGTGGCAGTGAGGGCCCTCTGCGAGACTCTAAGGCAGAGATCTCTGAAGCGGGGAGACTCTACGGCCTGGGAGCAGATCCTCTTCATGCTTGGGCACTGTTCCTCAGAACCACATTGACCCTGACCACAACGACTAACAGAACAGGCTCAAACTGTCCCAACCCACCCCACCGAGCTGTGCCCTAAAGCTCTCAACATGGACAAAAATCCTCTGCTCACGGACAACTACGACTCTATAGTTAGGATACCCAGAGTTCTAGAATGCTGCTCTCTGGGATGCTAGAGATGATTTCACATCCAATAGGTCCCTGTGTCACCTCTGGCAGGTCATGCATACATTTGAACGACAAAAGAATCTAAGCACACAGAGGGGACGTGGTCCAGCCTGGTCCCCTCTTCATTTTGCAAACAAGAAGGCTGAGTCAAGTTTAGAACCAGGGCTCCCTTTGTAACTTCATCTCTAACGGGCAACCCTACGAGACCTTCCAACCATCAGGGCTGCATTTAAATTGCACAGAAGCATCTGCTTGTCCACCTACATAAATGCCAAGGAGATGGGTCTCCATGCTCTGGATGGATACAGATCAATGAGGGAAACACTTCGCTGGCACGGAGAGAGACCATCTATCTGGCAGTGTGTGGCAGTCACTTACCTCCCTAACTTGTATTCCTCGGGTCTGTAGCCGATGTATTTGATGAGCCGTTCCACGCCCTCTGCTGGGGGCCCGCGCCAGTGCGGCCAGGTGTCAGGGCACAGGGACTTGTACCTGTACCAGGGGAGGAGAGGGACATCTAGAAGCCACGGTGGTATCTTACTGTAAGCCCTCCCCCTGCCCCAGAGCTCCGCTTAGCTCCGCCGCGGCGTGTCAGCCACTCCGCACATGTTACCATCTCATCACTCGAACTTTCTCGAATTCAAAGATTCACGCTTGGCAAGAAATAAGAGAAACTGTTTCAGTAGAGTGGGCGGGTTGGCTTGTCTTCACAGAGCAACGACATCATCAGACACAGCCCAGGTGACTCAATTCCACCCCTAGGGATCTACCCAAGGGTTGTGAAACCCGGGCCCACACAAAAACGTGCAGTCGAATGTTCGTAGCAGTATGATCCGTAATAGCCAAAAGGTTGAAACGACACGAATGTCCATCAATGGACAATGGAAGACAGAGACAAATGCAGTGTGGCACTATGCTTGGGAAGTGACGAGGGATTTTTTTCCCCAAGGGTCATTTTGGCTCTGATGACGACTTAAGAACCTATGGGCCAAGATGAAAAGCAACACAACTGGACCAGCTGGTCTGGAACCAGACTGCCTGGCCCAGCTCAGGAGCTGCAGACATCATTTCACCTTCTTACCTGTGCAAGGTGACCTTTATTATTTATTTATTTTAAGAGACGGGATTTCTGTCACCCGGGCTGGAGTGCAGTGGTGCAATCACAGCTCACTGCAGCCTCGAACTCCCCTGCTCAAGTGATCCTCCCACCTCGGCCTCCCGAGTAGCTGGGACTGCAGGTGCATGCCACTACGCCTGGCTGGTTGTCGTGAGGTTTAAATGAGATGATACAACAAGTATTTGGTACAGTCCGAGACGCAATCAGTTAGCTATGGTGTTCCCATTACACTTCCCCACCCCTGCTTGTGATATTTTAAAATTGCAATATTTTAAAATCAAATTTTAAACTGTTAAAAACATTTTTATTCTTCTGGAATTGTACTTTATGAGCGCGTCCTTTAAAAGCATCAAGTGTCCCACGTTCTTTCTCGAACCCTGATCACCTCCCCTCTGTGCCGTCACAAACACCAGGGCGCAAGATTCAAGCCAAGACACGGCCTCCAGAACTCAAGGAGAGCTGGAGAACTCAGGGCCTCGGCCCTCCAGGGAACGGAGCACGCTCAGGCCCTGCTTCTGCCTGCGTGGACCGCACCCAACACCGGCACGCCCAGTCACCCAGTCGCAGCTACACAGATGATGGGGAGCAGCTCTCGGTGCCTGCAGGCTGCGGGGACTTTTCAGCTCTAAGATACGGTTGCTCCCTGGCCACGGGAAGTGGTGCCAGGCCGGGCAGAGCCAGTGAGGGCATCTCCAGCCCAGGCCCGTAGCCCATCCTGCCCCTCTGCCCCTGGCACCCGAGCTGCTGCCATGCCAGCCTCTCAGCCCCCACCTCAGGCTTTCCCGCCTGGACTGATGTTCCCTGAATGCTGGGGACTGAAGTGAATGTTTGTGTCCCCACAAAACTCACATGTTAAAATCTACCCCCCGATGGGATGGTGGTGTTAAGAAGTGGGGCCTTTGGGAGGTGATTGGGTCATGAAGGTGGAGTCCTCATGAATGAGATTAGTGCCCTTGGGGAAGAGGCCTGGGGGAGCCCGTCTGCCCCTCCACCACGTGCAGACACAGCGAGAAGTGCTAGGCCGGGCGCGGTGGCTCACGCCTGTAATCCTAGCACTCTGGGAGGCCAAGGCAGGAGGATTGCTCAAGGTCAGGAGTTCAAAAACAGCCTGAGTGAGACCCCACATTTACTATTAAAAAATAGAAATTAATTGGCCAACTAATATATATAGAAAAAATTAGCCGGGCATGGTGGCACATGCCTGTAGTCCCAGCTACTCAGGAGGATCGCTTGAGCCCAGGAGTTTGAGGTTGCTGTGAACTAGGCTGACGCCACGGCACTCACTCTAGCCTGGGTAACAAAGCGAGACTCTGTCTCCAAAAAAAAAAATAAATAAATAAAAGAGAGAAGTGCTGCCCAGGAGCCAGGAAGCTGGCCCTCACCTGACACCAAATCTGCCAGCACCTTGATCTTGGACTTCCCAGCCCCCAGAACTGCGGGAAGTAAATTTCTGGTGTTTTTTTTTTTTTTTTTTTTGGAGACAGAGTCTCACTTTGTTGCCCCAGGCTAGAGTGAGTACTGTGGCGTCAGCCTGGCTCACAGCAACCTCAATCTCCGGGGCTCAGCGATCCTCCTGCCTCAGCCTCCCGAGTAGCTGGGACTACAGGCATGCGCCACCATGCCCGGCTAATTTTTTGTATATATATTTTTAGTTGGTCAATTAATTTATTTCTATTTTTGGTAGAGACGGCGTCTCACTCAGGCTGGTTTCGAACTCCTGACCTTGAGCAATCCGCCCGCCTCGGCCCCCCAAAGTGCTAGAATTACAGGCGTGAGCCACCACGCCCGGCCTAATTTCTGGTGTTTTATAAGCCACCCAGTCTACAGTGTTGTTTTGGTTTTTTTTTTCCACAGCAGCTGAACAAACTAAGACACTGAACACCCTCGTGGCTTGCTCCATAACTCAGAGAGGCCTTCCCTGCCCCCCCTTCCCTGGTGAGGGAGCCCCACCACTCTCCCCTACCCAGATTCATTTTTCTTCAAAGAACAAATCCCCACCTGACCTTACACGGTATCCCCGGTATCCTCCTGGGACCGGTTCCAGGACCCCTAAGGACAGCAAAGTCCACTGAAGCTCAAGTCCCTTATATAAAATGGCTCAACATCTACAACCTCCTGTATACTTTAAGTCATCGCTGAATTACTTATAATACTGAATACAATGTAAATGCTATGTAAATAGTTATAATGTATTTGTTTTTGAGACAGAGTTTCACTTTGTTGCCCAGGCTAGAGTGAGTGCCATGGCCTCAGCCTAGCTCACAGCAGCCTCAAACTCCTGGGCTCAAGCAATCCTGCTGCTTCAGCCTCCCAAGTAGCTGGGACTACAGGCATGCGCCACCATGCCCGGCTAATTTTTTCTATATATATTAGTTGGCCAATTAATTTCTTTCTATGTATGGTAGAGACGGGGTCTCACCCTTGCTCAGGCTGGTTTCAAACTCCTGACCTCGAGCAATCCACGCGCCTCGGCCTCCCAGAGTGCTAGGATTAAAGGTGAGCCACCACGCCAGGCCAGGTTATATTTAATTCTTTCCGCAGTTCTCTGAAGTTGGTTCTAGTATGATCCTCCCATTTTGCAGATGGGGAAACTGGGGCTCGGTAACTGTAATGTATTTTTAATTTGCATTTTTATTGTTGTCATTCTTGGTGTTTATTGGTTTTGTTCCCCCCAAATATTTTTGATCCACTGTTGATTGAAACTGCAGATGCAGAACCTGTAGATAAGGGGGGCTGACTGCGATCTCTCTGTTACTACTCATCTCCCCGCTAGAAAGCAAACTCCGTGAGGTCAGGGGCGGGGTCTGTCCTGTCTCTGCCGTGACCCCAGCACTAGGACAGTGCCGGCTCAGAGCAGCTGCTCTCTGGCATTTACAGAAAGCACGAATGAGCCTCCGACAGCAGCAAAAGTAGAAAATAAGATGTGTGAAGTTCAAAGACACGCAGGAAGAAGGAAACATCGTGTGTGTGTGTGTGTGTGTGTGTGTGTGTGTGTGTGTGTGTGTGTGTTTGCGGGCTCGGGGGGGGTCGTGGCTGGTGCTTCCTGCCATCTTCACCAGAAATTGGATTCAGAAAACTGGATGGGATGAGGGTGAATGGATGACAAGTAGCCGGTGGGCAAGGACAGTACATGGGGAGGGCGGAGGGGGGAGCAAATAGTCCAGCAATTCTTCAAATGATTAAACTCAAAAAAGCCTGATGTTAGCTTGAACCGTATGAAATTGCCACCGATATTCAACTGTTCTGACCCTCTGAAATGACTGTTTTATTATAGTTATCTTGACAGTGTGTTGCTATTTTAGTGGCATAAATTCACACACAGCCCGTCACCAAAGAAATGTTGTTGTACAAGCAACTTGGGGGTGCAATGAGTCCTTATAAACTCCCCGAGCACAGACTATATCTATTTATAATCTACCCAAGATAGTCGTACTGCAAGCACAATTTAATCCTCACATTACATAAAAGGAATAGGCCCCAGCTATAAGAGACAGAATGAAGATTCCAACCCAAGTTTGTGTGGTTCCAAAGCTCGTGCATCTGCCACTAACCTGCTGTTCTTGACAGCCTGTGAGGCTAAGGCACTAAACCCACCCGGATGGTCCCAAATCTGGAGAATCAGCCCAGCTAAGTCCCCATGGGGCACTGTCCACGCCTGCCCCCTGGTGGCAGGTCTGTGTACTCACAGTTTTGCCATTCATTAATGGAAACAAGTTGGGGTGAGTGACATGAATAGAAGACAGTAGAAGCTGGGTTTTTTATGTTCTCTGAAATGTTAGTGGTTTTTGCTGCCACGACAACAGCAGATAAGAACCAAATAGCATTCCCTAAGGGATGCCACCTTATGCACCACCAAATCCCAGAGACTCGCAGGTAGCGGGCGTTACTGGCTTCAGATCAACAAAGCACACTTTACCTCTGCAAGAAATGCTCATATTTCCGCCGGTACGCAAAGCCAGCCCGCCTCACCCGCAGGTGCTCCATCAGCCCCAGGTACTTGATCTGGTGCCTTATGAGGAAGTCGTCAAACTTGCCTTTGGAGGAACAGGAGGAAAAAAATGACAGTAAAGGACCCTGTGGCTTCATTTCAGCCAAGCCTGACAGGCTGCAAGCTGAAGATCTGTGGGCTGGATCGGGCCACAGACACATTTTATTAGGCTTGAATTGTGTAGGTTTTTTTTAAATAGGTCAACTTTATAGGAAAATCTAGATTTCTGGTGTCTCTTGAAAAATCATGAGATCTAGCCATCCTGGGCCCAGGGTCCCACATGGCAACAGCTGGCTGGACGGGAGTGGTGCTGCTGCCCCTTTAGACAGGATATTCCCTTGTCTCCAGTTTGCCGCAGTCCCCTCCAATCCCTATTGCCTCACACTCTGTCCTCATCACCCCTTTGCTATATTCCTGCCTGGCCTCTGTAAGCCTCTGACTGTACAACTTCAGTACAGACCATGTGGCAAGTGCTTAGAAAATTACACCTGCCTGGCTCCGCTGAGTTGCTCCTGAAACTGACCACGCACCGACCAATTCCTTTACCTTCCGTCATTTAAAAGGGAAAACGATTCACGCACAGAGGACAACAAGCAAGCCTGTGGTGTATTTCAGGGCCCCAACCCCCTGCCATCTTGGTCTGCCCTTCCAGCAATACATATATTGCCCCTGCCATTCCTCGCCTTCTCCCTGAGCTCAGTGTTCAGGATGATTCAAAACTCACTGGGTTCTTTTCTGTCGTTGGGCTTGATACAACGGATGTACGAGGGTTCCTTCGAGATGAGAATTTCTAGAAGGCTGCTCAGACTGTTTTTAAACTGAGTCCCCACCTGCAGAGAGAGAAGACTGATTAGAGCACGAGGCTGCAGCCCTTCAGAGCTGAACTCTTGAAAGACTGTCTTCCTTGCTATTGTTTTACCTGTTAAGAGGCAGCTTTGGCTGCACTGACCTGAGAAGCCCAGCTCAGGCTGGCCACGCAGCAGAAGCTGGACAAGCATCTGTTCAGAATGTTCCACTTGCTCAGCAATCACACGCCTTGTAGGGACCAGGGCCACAGCTGAGCCTGTCACTCTCTGCCACCTTCCCTTGTGCTTCCTTGTTGCCATGCTTCCGTCATGACACTGGTGCTATTGTAAGTTCTTTACTTATTTCCCTACGCCCCTCCCTCCCACTAGATTGTAAGCCCCTTGAGGGCAGGGACCTTGCTAAATCCCTGTGCCCAGCACAGTGCCTGACACACAGGTGTTCAATGAATGTCTGCAAATGAATTAACTGGGGCTAAACTCGAGAAGTATATATTTGATAGAATCTGCTAGAGAGTGATATTTCCAGAAGAAGGGGTGAGTGGATTAAAAAGTACAGGTCATCACCCCATCCCCCACCCCCCAGTGATTTCTGCTCCCTTTCCAATTCTGCACAAACATTTGTCGCACTCACTGTTGGCGGCCTCCTCCGGTTTTCTAGCTCAGCCACCAGGAAGCATTCCCTCAGGATGCTGTTCTTGGATTTGCACAGCACCTGTGAGTGCAGAGAAATGAGCACCACATTTGCCGGTTCAGAAGTCACTTAGGAGCCTCCAGGAAGGCAGGAAGGCTCGAGAAGTCTCCCTGAGGTGACAGAACCAACCACCTGCTTCTTGGGCACCTGAAGACATTCTTTTTTTTTATTATTAATTTTATTTTATCATATTATGGGGGTACAAATATTGTTAGGGTTACATATATTGCCCCTGCCATTCCCTGCCTTACCAAAATATCAAGTGTGTCCTACCCCCAGGTTGAAGACATTCTTAACACAGAAAAATGGGAAAAAAATACATAAAGCTGGGGGCAGTGGCTCATGCCTGTAATCCTGGCACTTTGGGAGGCCAAGGTGAGAGGATTGCTTAAGGCCAGGAGTTCGAGACCAGCCTGAACAAAATTGGGACCAGTCTCCACAAAAAAAAAAAAAAGAAAAAGAAAGAAAAGAAAAAGTAGCTGGGCGTGGCTGTGCTCACCTGTAGTGAGAGCGGTTGGCTGCCAGGAGACTCAGCTGGTGGCATGGGACAAGAACGCCAGCTTTTGTACTGTTTGGATTTCCCCCGTGCACACATTTTCACAATAATCTCTATTACCCAAAAGTTTTTTTTTTTTTTTGAGACAGAGTCTCGCTTTGTTGTCCAGGCTAGAGTGAGTGCCGTGGCGTCAGCCTAGCTCACAGCAACCTCAAACTCCTGGGCCGGAGCGATCGCTGCCTCAGCCTCCCGAGTAGCTGGGACTACAGGCATGCGCACCATGCCGGCTAATTTTTTCTATATATATTATTGGCCAATTAATTCTTTCTATTTATAGTAGAGACGGGTCTCGCTTCTGCCTCAGGCTGGTTTCGAACTCCTGACCTTGAGCAATCCGCCCGCCTTGGCTTCCCAGAGAGCTAGGATTATAGGCATGAGCCACCGCGCCTGGCCAAGTCCTTCATTTTTTAAGACTATAAATTCTCTATGAAAACCTTTTTCCCCCAAATACATAAAATGGAATATGATCCGGTCTTAAAAAGGAATTCCGTCACAAGCTACAACATGGCTCGACCTTGAGGACATGATGCTAAGTGACAAAAGCCAGACTCAAAAAGACAAACGCGCTATGATTCCATTTATACGAAGTGCCTAGAGTGTCAACTTCCTAGACACAGAAAGTAGAACAGTGGGGGGCAGGGGAAGGGAAATGGGGAGTGGTTGTTTAGTGGATATGGAGTTTCAAGATGAAAAGAGTTACAAGGATTAATTACACAACAATATGAATAAAATCAAGGCTATTGAATTGTACACTTAAAATGATTTAAATGGTGAACTTTATGTTATGTATATTTTGCCACAGTGAAATTTCTTTTTTTTCTGGCTGGGCACAGTGGCTCATGCCTGTAATCCCAACATATTGGGAGGCTAAGGCAGGAAGATCATTTGACGCCGGGAATTCAAGACCAGCCTGGGCAACATAGCTCGAGACTCTGTCTCTACAGAAAAGTAGAAAAATTAGCCAGGTATGATGGCACATGCCTGTGGTCCAGCTACTTGGGAGGCTGAGGCGGGAGGATCGCTTGTGCTCAGGAGTTGGGGGCTACAGTGAGCTCTGATCACAGCACTGCACTCCAGCCTGGGTAGCAGAGCGAGATACTGTTTTTTGCTTAACCTACCCCAACTCGGAATTTACAGGGACATGGAAGGGTAATTTGTAGGTAGGAAAGAAAATATTTGGAAGTTCTCTATCTTGGTATCAAAAAGAGTTCAAGGCCAGGTACAGTGGCTCACGCCTGTAATCCTAGCACTCTGGGAGGCCAAGGCGGGCGGATTGCTCAAGGTCAGGAGTCTGAAACCAGCCTGAGCAAGAGCGAGACCCCGTCTCTACTATACATAGAAAGAAATTAATTGGCCAACTAATATATATAGAAAAATTAGCCGGCATGGTCGTCATGCCTGTAGTCCCAGCTACTCGGGAGGCTGAGGCAGGAGGATCGCTTGAGCCCAGGAGTTTGAGGTTGCTGTGAGCTAGGCTGACACCACAGCACTCACTCTAGCCTGGGCAACAAAGCGAGACCCTGTCTCAAAAAAAAAGTAAAAAATAAATATAAAAAATAAACTCAGCTAATTAAATAAAATCCAATTTTGTATAAAACACTTAACTATTTCAATACAAAATAAAGGCTCTAAAAATCCAATGTCTCTCTGATGGGTGAGATATATGGAAAGGGACTAGGAATTTCATTGGCAGCCCCAGGAGCTGATCCCAGGTCCCACCCTACCTTGTGACATGACCTTGTACAAGTCGGGACCTCTCTGGGTCCCAGTTCCCACATCCTCAGGTCATGGTTCTCCTCGCACTGGAATAAAATCTCAGCTTCTCCCGGTGGACCGCAGCCTGCTGAGCTCTAAGCCCCCTCTCTTAACACTATCCCTCATTCAGGCCACAGGGCCTTTGCACATGCTGGTCCTACTACTTGGAATAACTCCTGACCTTTCTATGGTCAAATCATCCCCATTCAGGTTTCAGCTCAAAGTCACACCCATAGAGATATTTCTGTGGATTGCCTAAATTAAAAATGTCCCCCTTGATCACAGTTCCTTGTTTATCCTTTTCATAGCACTTTTCACTGAAAGATAACTTACTTGTGTATGTATTTATTCTCTGCCTCCCACCCCAACTGTAAGCCCTTCAGGAAGCAGCACTGTGTCTTAGTCACTTTTGAAGTCCAGAGCTGGCAGCCAGGAGGGGCACCCACACACTTGAATGATTTGTTGAGTGACGTGTCCACACAGATGATCTTAAACGTCTATTCTGGCCATAGCATGCTGAGATTCTAACATAATGTGTGGAAAAGGAAAAATCCAGAGGGCAAAATCTACCCCAAAATTAATGTCAAGGGTGCTATTTTCAAAACCATCAGAAACACATATGGTTAAAGTTTTGGACTTACTTCTTTCAGATGTCTGTAAAGGAGATCATTGTTTTTTTCCAAGAATCCTGTAAAACATTGAGTAAAACATTTTTGAATCAATGGCTTTGCTTCGAAATGCAATTCCATCCCAACTGATTGCAAGGGGAAATGCCTAACAACAATTTCTTAGGATCAGATCAGAGTCTCTCAACCTGGGCACTATAGGCATTTGGGGATGGATCGTTCTTTGTGGTGGGGGCTTGTCCCGGGCATTGTAGGATGCTGAGTGACGTCCCTGGCCCCTACTCACACTAGATTGTCAGTTGCACTCTGCCCAGTTGTGACAACCAAATATATCTTTAGATATTGCCAAATATCCCGGGCAGGTAACACCATCCCTGATTGAGAACCACATTCTCAGAACTGACTTCATGGCACACATGCTATACTTGATGCTGATGAACTCTCGTGTCCATGTGTCAACTTTACACTAAGTGTTATGCATGTGCCCCAATCCAATAGCCAAGAAATGCAGATACAATTAATACACAGGAGCAGTGGAGAGGACGCTGAGCCTTAAGGGCAGCCAGCTGAGATTATAAGAATGGATGAGAAAATGCCCATCACTGAGCAAAAGCAAACTCAAGGCACCATGGCCAGTGGTACCCCACGGCATCTTTATGCAAAGGAAGACGTGTCATTTCTAATTTTAAAACTTGTCTTGTATGTTTACTTAAAACCTAATTAGTTAATAATTATATTAGGAACAAAATAGCATTATGAGGTCAAAATCAGCTTTTAAAAAAAGAAGACATGCATCAAAAATGCCTAAGAAAAAATGGCAGTGTAGAAGCAAGCTGGCTTCACTCCCCACCCCACAGAAAACTAAATATACAGTGCTCAGATTATCACCAGCAATGACCCAGAAATCAAACGTGAGGATGAGGCAGTTCCTGGAACCACAGCAAAGTAAAACAACTCAGAGCAGACGGTGAGAGATTTGGACACCTTCCCCCTCCGATCTGCCTGGCACCAAGTGTGCAGATAATTTCCCCTGACTTATTATGGTTTCTACACTGAAAACTGTGAGATCAAGGGGGACCTGGCAGGTGACTTGTCTCAGGAGGCATCATGGGTGCCTGAAAGGAGAAATATCCCTGAGGACAGGCAGAGACAAAGCGGGGAGGTGGGACCCCACTCCCCAGCCCAGGAAACTCTGCTTTGTAACTCAGTCAAAAGAGACGCCAGATCGGAATGGCTGTTCAGCAGCACTACGCTGTAGGAAGTGCAGCCCACAGACCCCTGGGCGTGAACCCATAGCCAGCCTTCCCACACTGCTGGGATATCCATCCCCTTAGAACCTCTCCTGAATGCTAGGACAGGCAGCATTCCTATCATTACCAGAGCCAAGGCAAACCTGGACTTAAGGCGCCATCTAGTGCCAAAAACGAGGCAGCAGCCAAATCGAAAAAAAAAGACATTCAACAGGTAAATTACAAAGAATCTCGAAGCAGACATACCCAATACAAATAAAAACAAGCCAGAGAAGACTGGAATAGATAACTAATCCTTCAATGCAAAGATGTAGATGTACATCCACAAGAAACAACACCAAACGGGAAACCATGAATCTCTTCCCCTGCCTCGCAAATGGACAAAGCAAGGAATCAGAGACACACTCTAACGAGATGGCAACATGTGAACTCTCTGACAAGGAATTTAAAATAGCAGTTTTAAGGAAACTCAGTGAATTCCAAGATAACACAGAAAAGCAATCCAGAAGTTTATGAGAATAGCTGGGCACGGTGACTCATGCCTGTAATCCTAGCACTCTGGGAGGCCAAGGTGGGTGGATTGCTCAAGGTCAGGAGTTCAAAACCAGCCTGAGCAAGAGCGAGACCCTGTCTCTACTAAAAATAGAAAGAAATTAATTGGACAACTAAAAATATATAGAAAAAATTAGCCGGGCATGGTGGCGTATGCCTGTAGTCCCAGCTACCTGGGAGGCTGAGGCAAGAGGATTGCTTGAGCCCAGGAGTTGGAGGTTGCTGTGAGCTAGGCTGATGCCATGGCACTCTAGCCCAGGCAACAGAGTGAGACTATGTCCAAAAAAAAAAAAAAAAAAGGAGTTGAGCCCGAGAAAGGGGTAGAAAGCTTATTCAAAGAAATAACAACAGAATAACAGAAAGCTTTCCAAAACTTAAGAAAGAAATATCTAGGTACAGAAATGTCAGAGAACACCAGACAGATTCAACCTAAATAAGACTATCTTAAGGCAGATACTACTAAAACTCTCAGAGGTCAAAGACAAAAAGAAGATCCTAAAAGCAGCAAGAGAAAAGCAAACAACATATAAAGGAAAGCCAATTTGTCTGGCAACAGACTTCTCAATGGAAACCACACAGGCCAGGAGGGAGAGGTATAAAATTCTCAAATATCAAATACAGAACACTATATCTCAGCAAAGCTCTCCTTCAAATATGAAAGGGAGACAAAGATTTTTCCTAACAAAAGCTAAGAGAATTTGCTACCACCAGACCCAACTAACAAGAAATACTAAAGGGAGATATTCAACCTGAAAGAAAAAAACCCACTAATATGTAAAAAGAAAACATTTTAAGATAGAAAACCCACTGGTAAAATTAAGTACAAAGATAACCACAGAAAACTCCAATACTGTAATTGTGGTGCAGGCTTCATAACTCTAATATGAAGCCTAAAAGATAAATCTATCAAAAACAATAATAGCTATGGCAATCTGTTAAGAGATAGGCAATATAAAAATATGTAAATTGAGGCAACAAAAAGTCAAAATGTGTGTGTCTGGGGAGATGGAATTAAAATGTAGAGGGTTTATTTTTGGTAGTTTTTTCTTAGTTTGTTTCTACTCTTTTTTTGTGTGACCTAAGAAAAATTATCTCTTTAAAATAATTTTTTATATCTATAAGATTTTTTTTAAGTCCTATGGTAAACACAATGCAAAAACCTATAATAGGAACACTAAAAATAAAAAGCATACTACCAGAGAAGATCACTTAACCACAAAGGAAAACAGTAAGAAAGGAAGAGAGGAGTTATCAAAGAGTTATCAAACTACCAGAAAACAAGAAACAAAATGGCAGTAGTATGTCCTTATCCATAATGACATTGAATGTAACTGGACTCAACTCTCCAATTATAAAAGATATAGAGTAGCTGAACAGATAAAGAAACAAGACCCAAATATATGCTGCCTACAAGAAACTCAATTCACCTATAAAGACACACAGAACAAAAGTGGGGAGGTGGAAAAAGACATTCTATGCAAATGAAAACCAAAAAAGAGCAGGAGTAGCTATACTTATATCAGATAAAACAGACTACATATCAAAGACTATAAAAAGAGACAAAGAAAGTCACTGTATAATGCTAAAGGGGTCAGTTCAGCAAGAGGTATAACAATTATAAATGTCTACGTACCAACACTAGAACTCCCAAGTATATAAAACAAACATTAATAGATCTAAATGGAGAGTTAGACTGCAGTACAGTAATAGTAGGGTACTTCAACACCCAATTCTCAGTAATGGACAGATCATCAATATGGAAAAATCAACAAAGAAATGTGAGAGTTAAACTACACTTTAGTCTAAAGCAGGCATCCTCAAACTACGGCCTGCAGGCCACATGTGGGTATTTTTGCCCATTTGTTTTTTTACTTCAAAATAAGATATGTGCAGTGTGCATAGGAATTTGCTCAAACTACAGTCTGGCCCTCCAATGGTCTGAGGGACAGTGAACTGGCTCCCTGTTTTAAAAAGTTTGAGGACCCCTGGCCTAAAGAGACCTAACTGACATTTACAGAACATTTCACCCAACTGCAGAATACACATTCTTTTCGTCAGCACACAGAACATTCTCCAGAAAAGACCATATCTTAGACCACAAAACAAGTTTCAACAACTTTGAAAGTGTAGAAATCATATCAAGTATCTTTTCTGACCATAATGAAATAAAACTAGAAATCAGTAATAAGAGGAATCTCAGAAGCTACACAAACACATGGAAATTAAATAACATGCTCCTGAACAATCAATGGGTCAATGAAAAAATTAAAAAGGAAATGAAAAAATTTCTGAAATAAAAATGGAAATACAACATACCAAAAAATCTATAGGATATGGCAAAACACTACTAAGAGGGAAATTTATAGCAATAATTAGAAGGAACCCTAATTAGAAGGAAAAAAACAAATATCAGAGAATAAATGAAATTGAGACTAAAAATATAATACAGAAGATCAATGTAAAGCTGGCTTTTTGAAAAGAAATAAAATCAACAAACCTTTAGCTAGACTAAGAAAAAAAGAGAAAAGACCCAATAAATCTAAGCAGGAGAATGAAACTAGACCCCATCTTTCACCATATACAAATATAAAATCAAAATGGATTAAAGACTTAAATCTAAAACTTGAAACTATAAAATTACTATTACTAGAAGAAAACATTGGGGAAATGCCCCAGGACATTGGTCTTGGCAAAAATTTTTTTGTGTAAGAACCTCAAAAGCACAGGCAACAAAAGCAAAAATAGACAAATGTGATTATAGAATATCAAGCTAAAAAGTTTCTGCACAACAAAGAAATCAATCAACAAAGTGAAAAGACAACCCACAGAATGGGAGAAAGGATTTACAAACTATCCATTTGACAAAGGATTAATAAACAGAATATATAAGGAGCTCAAATAGCTCAACAACAGAAAAATCCAAATAAATAATTTTTTTAAACAGGCAAAAGCTCTGAATAGACACTTCTCAAAAGAAGACATACAAATGGCCAATAGGCATATGAAAAAATGCTCAACATCTCTAATCATCAGGGAAATGCAAATCAAAACCACAATGAGATATCACTTAACCCCAGTAAGAATGGCCTTTATCAAAAAGTCTCCAAACAATAAATGCTGGCGTGGATGCGGACAGAGAGGAACCCTCCTACACTGCTGGTGGGACTGCAAACTAGTTCAACCTCTGTGGAAAGCAATATGGAGATACCTTAAAAGCGATACAAGTGAATCTACCATTTGATCCAGCAATCTCATTGCGGGGCATCTACCCAAAAGATCCAATGACACTCTACAAAAAAGACACCTGCACTCGAATGTTTATAGCAGCACAATTCATAATTGTAAGGCTGTGGAAACAGCCCAAGTACCCATCAATCCAAGAATGGATTAATAAAATGTGGTACATGTATACCATGGAGTACTATTCAGCTCTAAGAAAGAATGGTGATATAGCACATCTTATATTTTCCTGGTTAGAGCTGGAACCCATATTACTAAGTGAAGTATCCCAAGAATGGGAAAACAAGCACCACATATACTCACCAGCAAATTGGTATTAACTGAGCAGCACCTAAGTGGACACACAGGTGCTACAGTAATAGGGTATTGGGCAGGGGGGAGGGGGGCGGGTATATACATACATAATGAGTGAGATGTGCACCATATGGGGGATGGTCATGCTGGAGACTCAGACTTGTGGGGGGAGGGGGGAAATGGGCATTTATTGAGACCTTGAAATCTGTACCCCCATAATATGCCGAAATAAAAAAATAAAAAGATAAAAAAAACCTATAATCAGACACCATCTCACCCCAGTTAGATGGCTATTATCAAAAAGACAAAAAAATAAGAAATTCAGGCATGCTCATAGTAGCATGATTTATAATAGCTAAAAAGTGTAAACACCCCAAATGCTCAACAGTGAATGCTTGAGGAATAGGTAAACAACATATGGCATGTGTCCACATAACAGATTAATATTTGGCAACCAAAAGGAACGAAAACATGGATAAACCTTGAAAATACGATGCTAGGTCAAAGAAGCCAGACACAAAAGGCCACGTGCTGTGTGACTCCAGTTAGACAAAGTGTCAAGAATAGACAAATCTATAGAGACAGACAGTAGATTCGCTTGTTACCTAGGACCGCAGGAGATGGGGCAAGGGAGGGAAACGGGGAGTGAGTGGGGATGAGCAGAGGGTTTCTTTTTGGGGTGATGAAATGTTCTAAAGTAGACTATGGTGGTGTTTGCACAACTCTATGCCAAAAATCATTGGGTTGTACGCTTTAAATGGGCGAAATGTATGATATGTGAGTTATGTCTCAACAGAGTGGTCATTTATGTAAATAAATCAAATGAGAAAGACTTTTTCAAATGGCTTGGCTGTGAGGCAAGGACACGTTTGGGATGGCCGGGCAGCAGAGTTTCCCCAGGGGGCTCTGTGCTGTCTTCAGGACACCCGCCTGGCTGCAGCCCTCAGCCACTCACCCTTGGTGCAGTACGTGACCTCGCCCGCGTAGTGGAGGAGGCGGAACTCCATCCAGCCGATCCTCTTCCGGCCTTTCGGACCGGCCAGCTTACGGCTGCGGGACACAGACAGACACGAGCTGAGCCTCTCTGCTCCACCGCAACCAAACTGCCCCCAAATCAGACTCTCCCTTCCCATACGCCCTGGGAACGCGTCATGACACGCAGGCGCTGCGGATCTGCGCCAGTCACTTCTGCATTTCTAGCTGATAACTAAGAACCCTTTTAGTTTTGCTACCTTAACATTTTCTATGATGTTGACAGACCAAAATACTCATGAAACACCACTTTTCAGATTCGGGAGATGCCTGAGTTTTTAAATAACTTCTTTTTTTTTTTTCTTAAATGTATCATATATATTGACAGCACATACACCCTAAGTGTACAACTCAATGCATTTTCAAAAACTAAACATGCCCATGTAACAAGCACCCTGATCAAGAAGTAGAGTTTGACCAGTCCCTGAGAACTCCCACGTTGAGCCCTTGCCAACAGCCAACAGCAAAAGTTAACTTTAGTAATTATATGTTTTACAGAGATGGAATTATATATATATATAGTATGCAATCTTTTGGGTCTGACTTCTCTTGTTCATACTTGTGTGATTTATCCACGTCAGTGAGTGTAGTTACAGATTATTCATTTGCACGGTAACATATTATTCCACTTGTGAATGTATCCCATTTTTCCATTCTTGATTCATTTGCTTATGCAATTTCATTTACTTATCCTTTCAGTATTCTACAATAGGGCTTATGAAGCCACACCACTCATTGCGTGTTTACCACGGCCAGAAATTGCAGTAGGCAATTTATGGAGTCATTTACAAAGCTGTGTGGTAGATATATCAACACTCCCATCTTGTAGAAGGGGGAAACGGAAATATAGTTGTTTGCCCAAGTCACGTGTCCAGTAAGAGGCCACGGTGGGATTTCAAACTAGGTCTTCATGACCCCAGAGCATATGATCTTAAGCTCCCTCCTCCTTGTCTCAAAGACTAAAGGTCTAGTTGCCCTTCTGGGATGCTCAACTCTACATCTTGATCTGCATGGTGGTTACATGGGATCATACAAATATAAACATTCATTAGCTTGTACATTTCAGATTTATATACATCACTGTATTTTACACCCAAATTTTAAAAGACAGACTCTTTCATGCATATGGACATGTCCAAAATGCAATGATCATTGACTAAAGGAAGATACAAAATCTTTTTAAAAAAATTCCCCTTACAATTTGACTTTGATTTCTACTAACAAAGGCATTCACATATATGAGTTGGTGTATCATGATGACATTTTTACGTATGAAGCAGCAGTCATACTCTTGAGGAACGTGATCCACATGCTAAAGTAGATATATGATCATCTCGCCCCAAGCAACAGCTTGCCAAATAAAGCGCGTACGTTTCGAAGTGTGCGTGTTTGCCCACTTTCTCTTCCAATTTCTCCAGGAAACTCAAGTCTGTAGCAGGACCAGGACGAATGCATTCTTCATCCTTCGAAAGACAAAGAGAAGCCTCAATCCAAACACGGCACACAGAACCACGTTTTCCCTTCTACAAGATGGACTATTAATATTCCTACCACACAGCTTTGTAAACGACCAAACTGCCTAGTGCAATTTCTGGCCAGGGTAAAGACTCAGTATATGGTAGGGGCTTTATCAGATCTGTTGTAGAATACTGAAAGGAGAGGTAAATGACATGCACAAGCAAAGGAATCGAGAACAGAATTCATCAATTTCACGTTTAAACGCTTTCACCAGCTGTAATAGAAAGTACTAGACCTAAAATATGTCGCTTCACACAAGTTCAGGTGAACATTCTGGGGGAAGAAAGGGGCTTACCCATCACATGCTCAGCTGCTCAGATTTGATAAGGGGACCGTTAAACCAGAGTAACTGGAAATTCCATGACCGGTCCCACCTACCTGACCCGTTTTTTGTTTTTTTGAGACAAAGTCTCACTTTGTTGCCCGGGCTACAGTGCCGTAGTTCAGCCTAGCTCACAGCAACCTCAAACTCCTGCTCACAGCAACCTCAAACTCCTGCTCACAGCAACCTCAAACTCCTGGGCTCAAGCGATCCTCCTGCCTCAGCCTCCCAAGTAGCTGGGACTACAGGCATGCATCACCATGCCTGGCTGATTTTTTCGATATATTTTTAGTTGTCCAGCTAATTTCTTTCTTCTTTCTTTTTTTTCTTTTTTTTTTTTTTTTAGTAGAGACAGGGTCTCGCTCTTGCTCAGGCTGGTTTCAAACTCCTGAACTTGAGTGATCCTCCCGCCTCAGCCTCCCAGAGTGCTAGGATTACAGGCGTGAGCCACCGCGCCCGGCCATCCACCTGACCCATTTTGAAAGTCTGCCCAAGGATACTCCACAGCTGTCATGACCAGCTTAATTAACTGCATTGTCTCATTTTCTTAATTAATCTCATTTTCTCTAACCAGTCATCGCTGACCAAGATCACAATGTATACAGACCCTTCTGAGTAGGAGCAAAGCCCTCATGGAAAAAAAGTTATAAAACCAGCTGAGTCTAAAACCTTTCAAGCTGTGTCATTTTGTGTCCTATTTTTGGTCCTCAAGAATAATACCATTTAACTGATCATCTTAAACAATGACAGGCGAGGCAGGGCACAGTGGCTCGTGCCTGTGATTCCAGAACTTTGTGAGACCCAGCTGGGAGGATCGCTTGAGGCCAGGAGTTCAAGACCAACCTTAGCAAGAGCAAGACCCTGTTCTCTACAAATAATAGAAAAAATTAGCCGGGCATGGTGGTGCACACCTGTAGTCCCAGCTATCCAGGAGGCTGAGGCAAGAGGATCGCTTGAGCCCAGGAGTTCAAGGCTGTAGTGAGTTGTGATGATGCCACTGCACTCTAGCCTGGGCAACAGAGTGAGACCCTGCCTCGAAAAATAATAATTAGAAATTCAAAAATAAAAATAAATGATGGATAAATGAATCCTGTGGTTTTTATTAAAACAAGAATAACAACAAATGCCTGGGGTTTCCAAGGAAGAATTAAAGTTTAAAAAAAAAAAACAATAGCAACAAAAAATCCTGGTTTAAGGTTGGTGAGACAACTTTTTTGAACATTTCTATGCTTTCTCATCCATATGGAAAACCAAACAGAAGCAAGCACTTGTTCCTGAATACTTGCAAATACTAGTCCAGCAATCCACGTGAAGACTGAACATGGACTAACTAGCTTATGATAGTGCATGCTTCCTGGAACGTGGTTCCCTAGGGGTCCACGTGGTGTCCCTTTGCCCCCTTCAGGTCTTTACTCGAAGGTCGCTTTCTCAGTGAGTCCCCCGCCCCCAGTCTTGCCTGAAATTGACCTCCACCCCCAGCAGCCCAATCTTCCTCTTCTGCTTTCCCTCCATGGCACAATCCATATATTTTGTCCATTAAGTGCTTGTTTGAGGTAAGTGCTATCACTGCACACCTTTAAAGATGATGAAATTGGAGCTCAGAGAGGTTAAGACACTTGCCTAACATCACACAGCTAGTAAGCAGTAGGTCTGGGATTTGAATCCAGCTGGTGCCTATATTCCTGGCAACTACAATCACTGCCTAAATGTCCCTGCTATGCTTTAAACTGATAAGAACAGATATTACACTTGATCTTAGCCAAAAGGCTGAGAAGCAATCCTGCTATGCTTTAGAATATGCTGGAGCCACAGAGCATCTGGTGGCAGGATTGGAGGCAGGGAGGGTAAAGGGGACCAAGTATTCTTACTAAAAGGGAAGCAGGCCGGGTGCAGTGGCTCACAGCTGTAATCCTAGTACTCTGGGAGGCCGAGGCAGGTGAATTGCTCGAGGTCAGGAGTTCGAAACCAGCCTGAGCAAGAGCAAGACCCCGTCTCTACTATAAATAGAAAGAAATTAATTGGCCAACTAATATATATATAGAAAAAATTAGCCGGGCATGGTGGCACATGTCTGTATTCCCAGCTACTCGGGAGGCTGAGGCAGGAGGATCGCTTGAGCCCAGGAGTTTGAGGTTGCTGTGAGCTAGGCTGACGCCACGGCACTCACTCTAGCCTGGGTAACAAAGCGAGACTCTGTCTCAAAAAAAAATTAAAAAAAAAAAAAAAGGAAGCAAACAGTCATGCAGATGATCCCAAAAGACAAGCAAGACAAGGAAATACTTCCTCATTTGCCTTTAGAATTTATTTTAAGAACTGATGTGTGAATTTGATCAATTATGGATCCGAGGACACTGTCATTCTCATAAGTTGCAAAAGTTCAGAAAACAAGGTCAGGATCCCATCCCGAGGAATGTCACTCAGGATCACTGGATACCCCCTTGTGTCGCCTGGCTTCCTGCTCAGGGGCTAAGCATGACAGCAGCCCCTCCCCAGGTGCCACCAAACACCCGCCCAAGCTCAAGCCCCAGTTCTGTGTCCGGGGAAGCCGCACGTGTCCGCTGTCCTTTCAAAGGTCTTTCCTTGCCGCCTCCCTGATGGGCTGTAATTTAGGCCTAAGAGTCTAAAGGAGAGGGAAAAACTCAGGCTAAAGCTTCAAGCACAAGTTCAACAAAAGAGCTCAACTTGCACCTTTCAATAATCAAGCAGATTCCACGCTCAGCCCCCCCCCCTTTTTTTTTTGAGACAGAGTCTCGCTTTGTTGCCCAGGCTAGAGTGAGTGCCATGGCGTCAGCCTAGCTCACAGCAACCTCAAACTCCTGGGCTCAAGCGATCCTGCTGCCTTAGCCTCCCGAGTAGCTGGGACTACAGGCATGCGCCACCATGCCCGGCTAATTTTTTCCTCTATATATTAGTTGGCCAATTAATTTCTATTTATAGTAGAGATGGGGTCTCGCTCTTGCTCAGGCTGGTTTCGAACTCCTGACCTTGAGCAATCCGCCCGCCTCAGCCTCCCAGAGTGCCAGGATTACAGGCGTGAGTCACCTTGCCCGGCCACGCTCAGCCCTTTTTAAGCCCAGGAAAAAGTTCTTCCATGTGTTGTAAATGCCAGAGGAATGGGCTCTAATTCAATGTTATTTTTCTCACCAGAATGGATATGATTCCTTTGTGTCTCTCTTCTACCAAATCGCAGATGATCTTGTTGTTGAAATATTGAATCGGCTCCCACTAAAAAGACAAAGAGGAATGAATTCTCCAAGTAGTATTTAGACGAGCAGAAAATAAATTGGTTTTAAATCGGTTTTCCAAAGTTTTTTTTTTTTCAAAATCTGTTTATATCTAATCTTAAAAAAATAATACTTTCTGAACAGCAAAATGACTTCCCAGGAAATAAGCAATGAGGGACTGAAAAATAATTCTTAGTACTAATCAGGAAAATCTTCAATAAAATAATATAATAATAATATTTCAAATAAATGTCTTTAGCCTGATCAAGAAATCAAATGAGCAAACATTACAATGTTTACCTCTATGCCTTCCATTTCATATTCTGCCTGTTCAGCTTTGAGCGTTCTCTCTATTAGCAGCTGTTGGAGTTTCTCATTGCAGTAATTTATACAGAACTGTTCAAAACTGGAAATGCAAAAGGCTTCAGTGACTAAAGTTATACATACACACAGATAAATTTTTTTAAAAATCTTATTTACTTATTTTTACAGATGCTTTTTAAAAAAGAAAAAGCACCGTCCCTATAAGTAAAATGATTTGCTAAATAGGTCAGAAAAGTCAAGTTAAAATTATGTTTGCATTTTTTACGGTTATTCTACTTCTAGGGAAGTCTGTGAATTAGGGGCTATGCAAATCTGGAGAATTTCTGGGGATGCAGAAAATCAATTCCAATAACCTGAGCCATGGCTGAAACTTTGAAACTTTAAAAAGAGGCTAAAGATAGGTAGGTCATTATGACAAAACTCACCCATTCTTGTCGAAGACTTCAAACCCATAGATGTCCAGCAATCCAATCACGGTTTTCCTGGTGAAATCCTACTCAAAATGATACTCAAAATGATCTTTTACTGGGTGATATGCAAAATCCTATAGCTGTCCCCCAAACTGGGTCTTGGCTACAAAGACCCAGTCTTTGCATGCCCTGTCTCTCTCTTCAACTCCCAGAAACACCTTTAAGTGGGAATGACCCTCCCAGCCCACTCCTCGGTCTGCCACCTGCCGGGATCTCATGTGGTGTTCACACCCATCGCCTGGGCAGCCAGCCCTTTCCCCTCTGTCCTTTAGCTGCCAGCCTCCCAAGCCACGTTGAATCCAAAAGCAAAAAGGAAACAGACCTACAGGCAGCCAAGGTCATGCAAAGCCAGGTGAGAGCACAGGTGCTACGGGTACCATTTTACAGAGGACCACGTGCTGTCAGGCCAGGATGGTTATTTATAGGTAACACACTTTTTTTTTTTTTTTAAAAGGAACACAGTTCAGTATTCTGCGTGAGTGTTCTGTGTTGCTGTCTCCCCATCCATCTTTTTGCGACACCCACAGACCCCATGCCTAGTATCATTTAATTTCTAGCTTTGAATAAATCCCCTTTTTATTTAAATAATTCCACTTCAAAAGGGAACATGACCTAAGTGAGTTTAAAGGACTAGTTATATTCTTCTTTTTAATTTAATTTTATTTTATTTGAGACAGAGTCTCGGTCTGTCACCCAGGGAGAACACAGTGGCCCGATCATAGCTCACTGCAGCCTCAAACTCCTGGGCTCCTAAGCAATCCTCCCGGTCAGCCTCCTGAGTAGCTGGGACTACAGGTGTGTGCCACAACGCCCAGCTAATTTTTCTATTTTTTTTTTTTTGTAGAGATGAGGGTCTCGCTGTTGCTCAGGCTAGTCTCGAACTCCTGGCCTTAAGCGATCCTCCCACCTTGGCCTCCCAAAGTGCTAAGATTACAGGCATGAGCCACCATGCCTGGCTAATATGCTTTTTCTTACACACATTAAAATATACTACTGTTAAAATAAACAAGTTTCTGTGTACACTGGAAGCCATCTGGCATGCAAGCACTGTGTGCACCACACTTGGGGACATGCTGAGAAAGTCATTTGGCACGTGCTCCTGTATGCAGATATTAGAAATGGGAAAGACACTGTCCCTGCCCGGGAGGAGCTCACAGTCTGTTCTCACGAATTCTTTAAAGAAACGATGAGGCTGGCGGGGCGCGGTGGCTCACGCCTGTAACCCCAGCACTCTGGGAGGCCAAGGCGGCGGATTGCTCAAGGTCAGGAGTTCAAAACCAGCCCGAACAAGAGCAAGACCCCATCTCTACTATAAATAGAAAGAAATTAACTGGCCAACCCAACTAATATATTATAAAAAATTAACCGGGCATGGTGGCGCATGCCTGTAGTCCCCAGCTACTGGGAGGCTGAGGCAGGAAGGATCACTTGAGCCCAGGAGTCTTGAGGTTGCTGTGAGCCTAGGCTGACTCCACGGCACTCACTCTAGCCTGGGCAAACAAAGCGAGACTCTGTCTCAGAAAAAAACAAAAAACAAAAAACAAAAAACAACAACAAAAAAGAAGCCATGAGGCTTATAAAACGTCACCCGTTAGTGAGAGCAAGTCATCCAAAATGTGTCGACCAACCTTGTTCACTAAGGAGGAGTTGATTTTGTTGACCAGCCAAGTAAAGGTGCGTCCATATACAGCCTTTGCCATTGCATCTCTTGCGTAGACAGAAAGTTCTAGCGTCAGTGGGCATATGACCTGGAAAGAATGACAAGGTATTATAGCATTACAGTTTACCAGAACACCGAGTTTCCAAACTAGTCTTTAATGACAATGCGCTGGGGCAGGAGGCCACAGCTATGTCCTCTTGTTTGCACAGTGGCTATTTCTTGAGCCCACCCACGGTTCCCAGCACCGAGCTGGCTGCTGAGACACAGCCGTGAGCAAGACACACACAGGCCCGGCCTTGGGGCTCACATGAGCTGGGGGGAGGGTGGGAGGGGGAGAGTGACAGTGGACGGAGTTGCACAAGGGAAGAGTCACATTGCAAGTTGAGAGTGACAAGTGCCACAAGGAATAACACAGGCTGCTTTGAGGAAGATGGTGGGACGATCACAGAAGGCCCCTTGAGGAAGTGATCGAAGGATCCTGGGACAAAAGAATGATGAGGAGTTAACTAGAAGACACGTAGGAACAGTGTTCCGGCAGAGAACAGCAGTGCAAAGACCCTATGGAGGGAGGACACAGGAGTATAGGCATGGAGGTGGGGGCAGGGAAGGATGAGGCAGGAGACCCTGGCAGGAGCTGGGCCACACAGGGCCTGCGGAGCTAGGCTCAGGTTTGGCTTCCCCCAGGGCCACCATGCCGCTGTTCTCAGAGGGAGGCAGCCATTTCCACCTGGGCCATTTTTTACCTCCTCAGTTTTGCTTCAATCTTCTGTGGTGAGAGCTTCCAGAAAGGACTGATAGTGGACCCCCAGGAGCTGAATAAAAAGAATCCAAAGTGCCATCAGTGACCGGGTTCTACCTGCTGAATTATAAAGAGCTCACGGTGGTTCCAGTGCCCAGAGCCGTCAACCACACTGATGGGTGACCAGGGTCAACGGTGCCTTAGCGCAGGACAGATGGCATCAGCCCTCTGCAACCAACGGGCTCTCTCCCTGCCCCACCTCCCTACTTGAGCTCTCAAACCTCCCAGCAGCTGCTCAGCCCTCTGGGCTGACTGTGGGTGCCCACTGCCTGGCTCCCCTCCCCGCCCCCTGCCGCCCTCTGTCCCCTCCAAAAGAGGACATCACCTTGGGGCGATCCACTTGATCATGGGTGTCTGGATGGATGGCACAGCCTTGGTCGTCTTCTTCAAAACCAACGTTCCAGGTGGAAGGACACTGGCGATGATTCCAAAAGAGATTCTGGAACGTGGAGCGGTCAGGACAGAGGACCCGGAGAGAAGATGGTGGCACCTAACGGATGCATGTCACCAGCAAGGACACCCGACTCCCGACCTGAGCTTCACAGGACCAAACCCTCTCCTTCCCCCAGAACTCGGCCCTCTTATCCACATTCAGGTTTAGGGCAGGGCTAAAGAAGCCCAGGGAAGGCTGGGAGATGCCTCCCATATCCAGCATTTTCCATGTGAAAGCACCTTTCATCTTCGCATACACCCAAAAAAAAATCATTTGATTTTTCAAATAACCATTTATAAATAATTTAGAAAATAAAGACCAATAAACCCATTAAATTTATCAATGTCATGGTTCAGGTTTTTTGTTTTTTTTAACTACATTCTAATCTTACCTTGGATGGTGGCAAAAAAAACAAGAACCAACCTACATTCTAGTCTTGAAAGCTTAAATAGTTAACAATCAAAAGAAAAAAAAGAAGACGGACGAGCGACAAAAAAAGATGATAAAATCAATATTTGTAATCAGCCCACAATTGTCTCAATTCACGCAAAATATAAGCTTAAATAAAGGAGAATCTTATAATTCCATGAGATCAAATTGTTGAGATTGGACTTAATTTAAAGGAAGAGACATTCTCTCCTCCTCATACACCGCATCAGGAAAATTCAGAGAGAATTACCAGGATCGATACAGGGTGCCCAAGTTCACATATTGAATTTCAAATAAGCAATGAACTAATTTCTTGGTTTAAGTTGTCCACATGCAATACTGGGGACCACTTCTAACTAAAAAAAAATATCTGCGTTGTTTATCTGTTAACTGAATATGAAACGAAGCATCTATTATTTTATTTGCTGCATGTGGCCAAAAAAAATATCCTACTATTGTACCACACTAAGAACAGGGATTGTTCCTCAATCCAGAGCAGTTCTGCCTCTAGGGCGCCCATACATACCTCAAGGTCACCTTCAGGTAAAATCATCAGCAAGGATTGGAAACAGTTTTCCAGTCTTCTGTTCATTAATGGACGACTTTTGGCACAATGACCCTGTTGGCAGACAATTGGATCACTTAACGCCATTTTTTTTTTTTCTGTTTACTACGGATACCAAGTTAACGCATGTTAAAGGACATTGATCATACATCATCCCTCCATGAAGATGCAGAAGCATCTATAAAGGCACTGAATTTTTAAAAAGTACATAGGTTTTACTTTAATTGTCTAACACATAATGATTTGCCAACTACTGCTTTTTTCAATTATGTGATTTTATTTTAAAATCTCTGTCCTGGAAAACTCTCAAAGGTAACTGTTAGTTGTGTATCTTTTGTGGGTTTTTGAACATAGTTTTTCTTGTCATTTTTGCTAAATACACTGAAGCTGTTTGTCTCAATAAATATCTGCCGAAACACGCAGGCAAAAGACAGCACTTAAATCCCAAAAACAATCTTGACTCACTTAGAAATCTCCAGGAAACACTTCATCGTAGGACCAGATGGAAAGAGACTCTCACTCAAGGAAATAAAAGTTTGGCATTTAGAGAAACACGGATTGGATGGAAGGGATCGCAGCAAAGATATAAAGAGACTTTCCCTACTAGCTCTAGAAATTGTCTGAAATAAGTAACAGCTCGACCAGTTTAAGAGAAAACATACTAGGCAAGTGTTTTTTTAATACTCCTTAAAAATTTCTTTGTGCTTAGGGAAATCAGAAGTGTCAAACCATGAAAACATTTCCCTAGTGAACTGGCTAACTATAAAACTGACAACATTACAAATATCCCTTCCCGAACAAAAACACACACAACACAAAAATATCCCTTCCGCGCACACAAAATCTCTCTTCCCACAAAAAAACATACAGCAACGTCTGTTCCTGCCCCGCCAATGGTAGGGTCTACACAAGTCACTCCTCCTTAGATACTTGTTGGCTTGAAGCAGTACAAGTATACCTCAAAGAAACCATAAGTTTCCCAAAGAAATCATGGGAGGATCATGAAATGGATCAAAATAATACTGGCAAATTGCTAGAACTATTTCCAAGGCCCTGAGGCATAAGGATCTGGCTGAATTTATGTGGCCAGAAAAAAATCTACAAGAATAAGACGGTGTCTCATTTG